CTCGATCTGAAGACCTCCAACATCGAGCAGCCGACAACGTCGCCACGGTCTAGGACATCATCTTCACCACAGTCGCCAAGGCGCGGGTTGATGGTATGGACCGGACGTACCTGGAATGGAAAGACCAATATTTTCTTCGTGGACCCCGGACTGAAGGTGAGCGCTGGCGTTACATTGGGCAACTCGTGAAGAATATCCTCCTCACATGTGGTCGCCCGTACCTTCTTGGAAACTTTGTACTGCTACAGCATTGAGGTGCCACCACATGGAATCGGAGGGCGTTGGAAAAACTCTCGCCTACTTGGAATGGAAGGGCGTTGAGTACCTAAAGGAGATGGAATATCCAAGTAGGTTACGGCTTGCCGCGCCCGTCAATTACTGCGCTTCCGGGCGGAGTTCAATAGGGTGGTCTACGGTGGCGGAGAAATCGACTATCTCGCTGATCTCAGGCACCACAACGCAGTCGCGTGCCAGCTCTCGATGGCGCGCTCGTCCAGAAGGCTGTGGCGGAGTGTCATGATAGTATTTAATATGCTCTTTAATATGGTGGTAGAAATGTCCGATCAGAATTTAATAAAGTGTAACTTATAGCGCCTCGAAAGTCAAGGAAGAAAAGTGACTTTTTTTATTGCCCCCCTGTACAGCATCTGTTCGGCTGCGGTGAAGTATGATGCTTATATTTCTTCTTTATATAATCACAGTTTGCTGTCTAGGAACATGGTGCTACTCGATTATTCGAAGCAATGAAGCTCTATCAAGATGCCGAGAAGGCAAGGGAAGCTCAAGAAGAAGAAGACAAAAAAGACCCAATGAAAATGCTCGAGAAACGAACGATGATGAGTCGTGCGGAAATGGAAGCAATGGGTTAGTATTCAAGCCTCATAATTTTGGATTTCTTTTGTTGAATGGGTTTTGCCTTTCTTTACGACTCGCACGTGCTGTTAAAATACTGGTTTGGCGGTGTGTGGTGCATCTCTAGTGCGGTGGGGTCGTCGCGCCGGTGGGCGGAGCGAGGCGGCGTGGCGGCCGCCGCGTACGTGTTTTGTTGCGTGGCGTTCAAATTGTTAAAGGGATCATCGACCCTTTAACAATTTGAACGTTTGGCGCGATCACGTTACAGTTACGTGTTGTAACGGGTTGGATTCATCTGGAAGTAGGTTTGCCTGACAGGATTTGACGTGTGGGCGATAAGAAAAACCGCGCCAAGCGACATACACCCAACGCACGCAACAAAATGTCAATAATCAATGCTTTCATGTTACGCCGTGAACCAACGCTAACGCTTTGTGCTCACAAATTGATACACTCGAGAGCTACGGGTAGTGGGCAACTCGAGATCTGCCGCGATCGCGGCGCGTGCGCGCGAGCGGCATAATGCGGCGTGCAGCCTGGACTTGCCGACGATAGAATCGCCCGGTCCCACTGGTTTGTGTTTATATTTTGTGAACTTGTGTTTCTAAAGGTCGTTTTTCTAGGTAAGACCTTGAGCATCTGTCAGAGTTAGTAGGAAACAAAGAGGCTGTTGATGTGGATGACTTCCTGGAAGCCACAAAACCAGTACTCTCAATACCTGAACAGATAAAACTGCAAGAAGAAGAGGATGAACGCGCTTGATATTAGGTTAACATCTTGAAATTACTTTTTTTTCTCTAAATTCCTATGGAGAGTGTCTGTACCACAAGTGATATCGGTGTTTAGGAAGGTTTATCGCAAAGACCTGTTCTGATGGTAAAGATATATGCACAACGGTTTCAGAATGTAATGATGACCATAAAAGGCAAGAGGCAAGAGAATGATCTCAGGTACAATCGTGGAGCCACGTGCTTGGTACGTTACGCATCTGCTCAATTTCTCTTTTGTCATGAGTTATACCTTCAATATGACAGTTCTGATTTTGAAGTGGATTTAGTTAACTTCTTTCCATGATACTTTTTATTTCTCGTTTTGAATCTCACTTTGGAGTTCTGAGTCGCTACATTTTTGGAGTTTACTTGCTCCTTGATCGTAGTTAGTATAGCGGCGAAAGGCCCGCTGACAACCCGCGGTTAGGAGTCGAATCTCTTGTCGGCTCCTTCCCAGTCGAATAAAAATTAGACGGATAATTGGTACCAGATTCGTCTGGGGGATAAGAACCTGAATTATACACTTTAGCTCCCTTCGGAAAGCATTGTATAGGAGGCCCATCGTATTCAGAGTAAGTCACGTACGATTCTGTTATACAAGTAGGAAGATGCCTGGTGCACTCAATCAGGATCTGATGAAACGAACAAAAATTGTTGGCTTTTTACAATGCTCCTCCATTTACTGGATCGTTCTTTCTTCCCTGTGTAGACCTTCCCAGAAAGTGGAAATTCGAACTAAAGGACATTGTATAGTTTCAAAACCCTTTTGATTAAAAATTGAGGTGAGTGCCTAGAAAAGGGAAGATGAAGTATGGGCGCTGTTTAGCGACGGGGGCATTTTGTACTAACATTGCTTCCCTAGTTCCGGTTTACGAATCTCACCATGGTAAAACTTGTGAACGCCTGTGAAGCTGGAGTAAGATCGTCTAGCCACCATCCTAAAACGTGTCGAGAAAAGGCTACCTAGATGGGTCGGCACATCTATGAAAAGCCGAATGCCCCCCCCCCCCCGTCGACAAACTGCGCCTGAAGTGTGTTTCATTCCAATCCTAAGAGCGAACATTAAACCACAGATCTGAAGAAAAGATTCTACAAATGTAGCATACTGAGCGGAACGGATAGCTCTTGGAGGCCACATGATTTTGTATGTTTTTAGATATCCAAGTTGAGTGATGCTGCAGATGTCAAGCCTTTCGATATAAAGCCGACATTCGCTAAGGATGCCCCGAAGCGTGCCAGCGACCAGAAGTCCTTGTTGTCAAAAATGGTTATTGTGAAGAAAAAGAAGGTAATTTGAGTTACTTTGGCTTATTCCTTTTTTGTGAGGGTTTCATGCTGAAAAGACTGCCCATAATTTGTTTTGACAAGTGTTGACACATTTTTCTAGTATTCATACAATTTCTTGTTGCGTATGTGACGTGGGAACGGCGTCACGTGAGCGGCATTCGTGCTCAGACTTAATAATTTCAACGCTGAAGTGATTTAGTAGATCAGCTAGGAAATATTGTTAGCTAGTGCATCATGGATGCAACGATCCAATCCTCCGTATCTATTACGGTTCCGTTTTCAGGTTGTCGAGATATAAATCCTAGTAGTATAATCGGCTATGTCCGTGTGTGTATCTGTCTGTCTGTCTGTTTGTCATAGCACCTGAAGAAGAACTTGGAGAGGTCGGGTCATGGTGGGGATGGGTAGAGCATGGGACAAAACCTAAATAGCACCCATGACCCATGGTAAGCCGCCCACAGTGGGCGGGGCATGCGTCGAAAGTTAGCGATGTCACTGAAAAAAGTCATAACTCGGTTCCAGAGCAGTCCCCAGGTGAGGGAACAGTGCAGTAAAGTTAACAAAGGGCTGACCGACCAAATAGAGGAGACACACCCGAGATGGGCGGGCGTTCTTGAGATGGGCGGTGCTTCCGTTGTTTCTATATATATTTCGATGGAGAGAGGGAGGCAGTTCGGTACATGTCACGTGACGGTGCGGCTGTGCGGCATGTATTATCGTTAGCACTTCTTTTCGAAGCCATAGAATAGGTATACACGCGGCTTTTCTGCTTGGTGAGAGGACACAGACAAGCAAACTTGAAGTGTGGTCGCGCAGCTGCGTCCCTTCACCCGCCCCCTCCCAACAATCTTCCCCTTTCCGATAACTGGCTTTTTGTAAGCTTATTAGAGCCACTATCGCTGCATTCTTTTTCGTCGTACTGGCGAGGGTATCCAGAAAAGCTTGCCTCTTATTGACTAGTTGACTTTTGTTTGTTCAGTACTAAGTGATGCATTTTTCAGCTGGAAATAAAGGAGGAACCGGCAGAT